CCTCCTCTCCCTTCTCCCCCATAACTACTCCTTCAGTTACCTGTGTTTACAGCTAAGAGATGAAATATTCTCAACACATGAGAAAAATGAATATGTCATATTGCTTATGTTACATATTTTAACACACTATCTTTTAATCCCTTCCACGTGCCTTAGCAGATTGGACATGGGATATTTATGTTGAACCTTCCTACTCTTTTCAATTTAGCAACCTTCCGGAACAGCAAGTGGTAGTGCACCACAGTAGGTATCCTCCACACACACACACACTTACACATTGGGCATGTCAATAGTCTAGAATATTAACTTTCAGGGTCGCAATATTCTTTTGCATGAGTTTGTCATTTCACCAAATAACTACCCCTCTTTGCTCCCCAGTTTCGGAGGTATAGTGCATGAGTTTAAAAAGCTGCTGCCAGAAGGGGTTAATCAAAAACATATAATAGGGAAGCATACACTGATTGCATGGCCTTTACGAGTTTCTAATAAAGAAAAAACGGCAAATGATAACTGAAAGTAAGTATTAAAAATAAGTTTTTCAGTTAATTGTCTCCTCTCAGATACTTTTCAAAGCCAGTAATCGGCATTAAAATACGACGTTAAAATTTGGCGATTCTCCAGATTGGTTATCTGTCGGCAACATCGTCACGAAATTCCCACACAAAACCGGTTCAGTGGGATCAGCTTCGCGGCGTCGATGCCCTGATATTAACTTCTGTTTGTCGTTTTCCAGAACACAACCCAGAAACATCGGTAAGCTAAATTCATGCGATTTGTAATCAAATTTACTTGTGATATGGGAGGATTTGATAATTTTAGAACAAAACAATACAAGAGTAAAATGAGACAGGAAATGCTGTACTCCAAGAAATCAAATTTTTGAATATTTCCAAGCATAGCTTAGAATCGGACGAATCTGTTTAATACGCCCTGCATTTTGGAATCAAGCATCCCTCAGTGGTATCGCTTACTTGGGATCTGCTTATCCAGTTGTGGTAATGGTAAGAAATGTATACGATTTAATGAACCGAAACATTTCTTACCATTAAATTAATTTTCATAATTTACAAATTTTGTAACTCTCATCTCCTACCTCTTTACTCTTCGTCTTCTTTCATCCGTTGTTAATACGCCCAATTTTTTTATTATATCATTTAAGCAGTCCTCGTATTCTTGAATTTAGTTGTTTTATCCTCAATTTTGTAAAAAAAAAAAACAAAAAAAGCAGTTCTGGTACTCTCTGTTAAGATCGCGTCATCGCTTGGCAGT